CTGGCAGAGATAGGTCCATAGTTACTATTGAACTTGAATAGGAAGTCAAATACTGGCAATCTTACTGTGACCTTGAAATTGACCTTTGACCTACTTTTCACCATGAACTGTTTTTTGTAAATTTTGCTTCCCTTTTATCTCTAAAACTGGCAAAGATAGGTCTATAGTTACTATTGAACTTGAATAGGAAGTCATATACTGGCAATCTAAGTGTGACCTTGAAATTGACCTTTGACCCACTTTTTATCATGAATTGAACTTTGCAAATTTTGGTTCCCTTTTATCTCCAAAACTAGCGAGATAGGTCCATAGTTACTATTGAAATTGAATAGGAAGTCATATACTGGCAATCTAAGTGTGACCTTGAAATTGACCTTTGATCTACTTATTATCATGAACTGAACTCTGCTAATTTCTTTCTCTTTTAACTCCAAACCTGGCAGAGATAGGTCCATAGTTACTATTGAACTTGAATAGGAAGTCATATACTGGCAATTTACTGTGACCTTGAAAATGACCTTTCACCTACCTTACGATGAACTTAAATTTGATTGTACCATTTTTAGTTTCATATATTTTTTGCAAATATTGAAAATTCTTGTTGATTGCATGTTTACAGCTTGTCAAGCACAAGACTGGTGGCTGTGTCCCTTATTTTGTGTATGTGGGGGTCTATACGAATGCGCTTGCTCCAGCTGGTGGTACAATATTCGGAGGCGGTATCGCCTCTCTGATCCTCTAGTTATAAGACAGTTTAAAAAAAAAGAAAAGTCAAGTGAAGGAATGAGGAAAAGTTTCACACAGATTAACAAGATTAATTATATTTTACTAAACTCCACCTGATAATCAGTCAGATATGATGTTTTGTTTTATCCTGTTTAATTTCAGATTAACCTGTATCTTCACATGGAGCAAAAACCACACAAGAAAGAGGAACTGATGTTAGCTAACAATGTGTTGAAGCTCGCACAGGACTTATTTAAGGTACATATTTGGTCAGGGTTGAGATTTTTCTGCTGAATTTTGGAATTCTGAGATTTTAAATTAAATTCTGGTGGTGTCGAAGGGAGCCCCAGGACAATTAAATGTTTGGTGCCATCATAAATTATTTGTTGCAGTTTTCTGACTTAATACTTGAAATTCAAAAATTAAAAGTCAATATCAGCAAATTGAGGTTTTTTAGTCTTTTCTGACACTGCTGTTGTTGTTATATTTCTAAAGCTGCCATTGATTTGTGGAATCTATATTGCCCTATGAAACTGACAAAAAAACGATTGATTAATTCTTTCCAAGGGAATGGCTTTAAAATGGCCCCAGGCCCCTGCTGTAATTACAGGTAGCCATTTTTCCCACTCTTTTCCTGCACCCCAACATCATGTCTGTCTGTTTATTTGATGGTAAAAGCCATTCCAATATTATCTTAAATTTTACTTTTCAGGAGCTGGAAAGCCCCTTCAAGATCTCTGGACTGTCCGCTAACCCATTTCTCTACAACATCACCAAAGTGGTCATATTGTCAGCTTTTTCTGCCATGTTGACCGAACTACTGGGCTTTAAACTCAAACTCTACAACCTCAAGATAAAAACTTGAAAAGATAGAAGGAAATAAATGGGGAAAATGGATGAAAGAGATCCAGACTGAAATCTGTAACTATAGCATGAGTGTGATAAATAGAGAAGCCACACAAAGAGTTTTGGAGTCTTGGAAGTAGAAGTGAAAGGAAAAATATCAACAAAAGAGGGAGAGGAAAAGAGAGAGAAAAAATGATGTATTAAAAATACAGGAAAGGCAGGCAGGTGAAAGGTGATCCTGGCGATTTTTTAAAAGTTGTCTTAGGAGAAAAATGAAATTGTCCATGAAGGAAAGCACATGCTTACTTGAAGCTTTACTCACTTAAGTCGAGACCTTTCAACATACCCACCAATAAGAGTAGAACAATCTTTGATATCTTAGATAGCCATACTTCTAGTCAGGCCTTAAATGTTTTGCTCTAATAATATAATATGAGACTTAATGTCTGTTATTTACATTGAAATTCTATGTTTACAAAACACTTCATTCAGTATTTGTTTATACCCATTTATTCTGTGTTGTTGTTTTTTATTAGTTTGACATTTTGTGATAAGTATTTTATTGTTGTTATTATTATTATTTTGGAGAAGAAAGATGTAAGTGATACAATGATGTGCCACAACCTGCCATCCCCAGAATTACATGCATTGCCATATTGGTTATTATCACCTAACACAATAGCTTAGCACTGCTCATTGGCACACCTAACACACTATCCTCATAGGCACACCAAACGCATTGTGCTCATTGGAATGCTTAATTTACTGTGCTCAGTGGCACACCTAACACACTGTACTCATTGGCACACCTAACACACTGTGCTCATTGGCATACCTAACACACTATCCTCATAGGCACACCAAACGCATTGTGCTCATTGGAATGCTTAATTTACTGTGCTCAGTGGCACACCTAACACACTGTGCTCATTGGCACACCTAACACACTATCCTCATAGGCACACCAAACGCATTGTGCTCATTGGAATGCTTAATATACTGTGCTCATTGGCACACCTAACACACTGTACTCATTGGCATACCTAACACACTGTGCTTATTAGAACACCTAACACACTGTCTCAACTAACACACTTCCATAAAGCTCTCATATTTGACACACATACTGCTAGACATCTGACTTCACATTAACATGTTCATTTCTGTTTCAGCAAATTAAGAAATTTGTGCCATTCCTCTTGGTTTTTACTCCTAGACAAACGATATCTTTAAGTTTATTATTCTAGTCATAGAAAACCTAGCATAAATAACAATAATTGTGAAGTTCTGGAACGAAGTCTATAAATAACAATAATTGAATGTTCTGGAACGTTCTGTTATGGCAACTCAAAAATTGTTTTGAATGTGGTTGTTTATCTAGTATAATTTGCTTTAGTGGTGACCTTTTTTGGTTAGTTTAGGAAAAAAATTCTAACTTGGTTTGTATCACTGGTTTGTAAAGTGGGAAGGCATCACCTACTGAAATATTTCCCACTCCATACATTACCATTGAACATATTCTAGAAGATGATGATGATGAATTGATGATAATCACATTATTATTATTATTATTATTATTATTATTATTATTATTATTATTATTATTATTATTATTAACATTATTATTTCTTGCAATTACATGCTGTTGGATTGTACAATGAAATAATAACGAAAGGCTATAAATATAATAAAGGAAACAGGATGGTGCAGTTACCAAATAAGGCAAAAATAACTGATGCCTTATGGGGTATTGTCTATATTAAGAGATGAGAATAGTTGGAGAGACATATCAGTATTATAATTTATTATAATAGTACAGATTGAATTATCCAAGATGTACATCAGACAATGAAAACATGTTTGTGCACCTGTTTGATATGCTGTTTATGTGGAATCATCTGAGACAGCCTTAAAGTAGGCATTTGCAGGGGTGGATGGAGGCCATCTTTTGGTTCTTTGGAAAGACGGTGAGAATTTTTCATGTTTACATCGACGGGCAACTTATTTATTCTGCCAGAAGAGGGTCAAAAAATGGAGGATGGATCAACAAAGATTTATAGTTGTAAAACCTTACTGGGCTCTCTTGTATGATTCCCACTCAAGTTTTTTTTTTTTTTTTTTTTTTTCACTTATGGGTGTAGTTTAGAAATTCTAACACTAAATGTGCTTTCTGAGTACATGTCTGGTTTTAAAACCCTAGGGTTCAGTTTTTATATATGTAGGTAAAAACTAGACAAGTATGTATTTACTTTGCTTTTTTTTTTCGTAAAACCAGGTTGAAGATGAATTTCAATATCCTGATATTAATAAACCTGGATAAAACTATTTGCCCACCGAAAAATTCATTTTGAGCTATTTAAAATTGCTAGGCATGTTTTACTAACATGAATATGGCATTCATGTTTGACTCTATAATGTTACAAAACAGAATTTGGATGTGTGTGTTCATGTGTTGAGAGTCAATTAAAAATATAATGGTTTTTATGACAGATGCATTTAACATGAAGCAATGTGCGCTGCTTGCCTGGATTGAACAGTGTCTAGGAGATTAACACTGCAACAGTTTGCAGTTCTACAATACGGTCTTGCGCTAGTAACTGCTAGGAGCTCATAGTTGCAAAGAAAATGAATGAATTATTATTCCTGAACTTAAATTTCAATCCAACCACCCCCCCCCCCCAAAAAAAAAAAAAAAATAATAATAATAATAATTAAAATCATTCAAGATTGCAGGGTGTTATAAGATTGTCTAGGCTGTTGCATTTAGTTAGAAGGCTAGGAGCTGGTTTACCCCCCCAAAAAAAATTGGCCTGAAAATGTTGACCTTTCTAGACGTTCTACTGGAGATAAGTAAGCTCTCTGGTAGTCTATTGAAATTAAAATTTGGTCTTAAAAAGACAAGCTATTTATGGCATGGCTAATGTTTTAGACTACTGTACAGGTAATTTACATTTGTGGATTACTGTTGGGTAAAATTTGATGAAAAAGTTTGCAAGGTTAAACCAGTTTTCTGTCCAAAGTTTTTTGTGAAGCTGGCCTAGGAATTTGTTGCATTTAAAAGGGGTGATTTATATTAGGTTTCAGTTTGTGGCATTTTTCCCTACTTTCCCAAATAGATCTTTCTTACAAAAATCCATTAGTTCTTTTCAGTTGTATCTTAATTTATTTGTTTTGTAACAATTTAATTATTATTGTGACGAACTGTGTAGACGGGTAAACTTATGTAGTCATTTTGTGACAGAAAGTCGTATCATTATTATATAGACACAGACAAGTTGTACTTTTTATTGAGACATCTTCAATCATATTGATTGATAAGAAATTAATGTTTGCTGTTTTCTGTGCCATATATGAGAAAAGTAAGAAATAAATTCATTAAAAAATGATATTATTTTTTCTTTGTCTTCTTTTCGGCATGTTCAATTTATTTCCACTGCTTTAATGATTATTTCTTTAAAAATATTTGATAGTAAAAATATTTTGCATGTCAGAGGTTGAAAAAATGGATGATGACAACATAATGTCCATACCCCTTTTGTTTTAGGGAAAAATATTGTTGAACAGCTTTATTTGATTTATTCCCAAAATTATAACATTTAATGACATGTAACTTTCTAAATTGCACCAAAGTTTAAATATTAAATATTACAAAATTCTTTTTACTGCCCAATGAAACTTCTAAACAAAACTGCTTTTACAAAAATTCTGTCTGGATTCTACTAGAATCAAAATTGAAAATAACGATGATGTAGCATTATAAAATGTGTCAAGAAACCTCAAGCTTGAAAGCTGTTCCCAGCCGTCTGAACTTCTTTTCAGATTAACTGTTCAAAATAAGAATAATCAAACCTGAAATTTTACAGTGACTACTCCTAATGTCCAGTTCTACTGGCTATAGTATACTACCCAATGATCACTGTCAGATTCCTTGGCTGTGGAGATTTTGAGAAATGTGTGTAGTATAATAACCAATAACTTTGAACTTATCTCTCAAATCAAACCCAACACTCGCCCTCTATGAACCCAAACACTTGGAACATATTTGTCCATGTGACTGATCTAAGCCAATCAGATGCTGTGAATGTGGTCACATGAACATATCATCATAACCTGGAGGAGGGAGGTGGTCTGGGTCTGGACTGAAATAGAAAAGAACAATCCCGGAAACTGACAAGAATTTGAAGAATTTACAGAATATCAAAAATTCACACAAAAATTAAGTTTTACTATTTTCAATACAATTTTTGTCATTATTTATTGATTTGCANTCACTTTAAGAAAAAGGTATACAAATTGAAGAAAAAAATAATTTAAAAATGAAAAAATACAAATAGCCAGTCTTTATCAATATATTATATTCAAAGGCTTCAAGTTAATTAAATAAATAAATTATCAACCATACTTACCCAGCCCTATTACCTCCAAGAGGCCCAGGACCAAATGGATCAAATCTGGCACCAGGTGGCACTGCTCCACTGCAAGACAAGCTTATTTTCTTGAAAAATTGTCTGATATTTTTTTTAAGCTAATATCTTATTTTATCGAGTTAATTTAATATAACAATTTGTATCCTTAGAAGGAAAAAAAATCACTTCAAAATAACATAATATTTATCAATTTATTGTCATAAATTGATAAACATTGATAAATTTTTATTTCAGTGCAAGCAATACAGAGAATTTATTCTGTTCCCTTAAATGTGTGCCAAATTTTAAAACCTTTAAACAAAGGCAAAATTTTCTTTACAAACTTGTGTCCAGATCATCATCGGTCGTTTTAGCTCTATCAAGACATATAAAATATGATGACGTCAAACAAAGTTTCTGAATAAGGTTTGGACAAATCAAACTTCCGACTGTGAAACAACACATAAAGCATTCATTTGGAAGGTGTGCCTAAAAGGTGTTTCACTTACGGAGGTAATCGTCCCGGCAGTCCCGCACTGGGGTCTGGTCTCACTCCAGGCAACCCTCCTCTCCTGGGGTCCATCAGCATCCCACCACCCCCAGGATGACCCCCAAATGGGTCAAGGTCAGCTCCTCCTACAGCAAAAGGATCATTCTGTTGCTCCCTATGGAGGTGAGAAACAGTGTAACAGTAACTGGAGCATCTCTGGTACAGGCCTAAGTCTTATGCGCAGTTTTCTTTTATCAGATGGAAGAAAGCCTTCATATCAAACCAGATAATTGTTCCATTAATGCTATATGAATGTTTCTTTAAGTGACATGAACGCATACTATAGTTTCTTCTGCCCTGACGGACATGAGGCATATAATACTGAGTACAATAATCTTCAACTTGAAAGAATTATACACATTATACACAATTATTAATATGATGTTCAAATGTAATTTATCCATCTTTTTATCAATGTCATTCATAAACCATACAAAAAATAAAGAGAAAAAAAATTAAAGAATTACCATTCATGCCTGCTCCTCTGTGAATGTGACGGTGGTATCCTCAGAGGATCATCCTCATCTCTACTATGACCCTGTCCCCTCCTGCTACCTGCTGCCCTCTGGTGAGCATTCCCTGCAAGAAACTCAGACAGTAGCTCTTGCTTGACTCTTGACTGCAGTTTACTCATATTTTTGGTGGCACTAAAAATAAAACAAGGTGTATATAGAGGGGGCACATGCTTCACTGAAAGTGTCATAATTTTTTTCTTTATCATCAAGTTACTTGTATTACAGGAGGACTAAGACAATAACTCTAAGGTATGCCTCGTAAGTTTTCACAAAATTTCACATGATTTCACATGATTGACAGTGAATAAGAATACTACTAGTAGCACATACTACATTTAATCTTCTAGAGTATTTCATCAATGAATTATACTTGTACCTGTGGAATGTAGAGAAATCTTCCGTGGCAAAGTCTTTTACCTTTATGGACATGCTTGTTATCTTTTCATCTTCGTGACGCTACACAAGTAAGACAGACAGTAATTACAATTTCATTGCTGAACATATATTTTAATATAATGTTATTTTCCTTCACTATTTGTTTATTTATATTCATTCATTCATTCACTCGTCTGTCTATCATTTGTTATACTGGTTGTGCCTATAATTCGCGCGACAATCCGTAAGCGTAGTAGTTCAAATGTACTTCATTTATTTATTTATTTACTTATTTATTTATTGGTTGTCTACAACTAAATTTACAACTTACCATCAAATGTACTAGAAGCATGCTGTCCATCTGTACAATCTTCAGCAGATATGTCTTGTGGTTGTGTTGGTACAGGAGCATGTACACATCTTGTGAAGAGTTCCAGTGTGAGGGCAACATCTCGCTTTGACGAGGATGAGCTGGAACCTTTATAGAGCCAATTTTTTTAAATACAGTTTTCTCTCACTCGCCTATCTCTCTTAAAAAAAAAAATTAAAAAAAAAAAACATAGCTAGAGGAAACGAGACAAAATCCAAGTGCCTCTTACATCACCGTACTCTGTACAATTGTATGATTATTTTCATTTACTACTTTTCATTTACTTCGGGGAAATGATAACCTTTATGACTTCATCCATGCAGCAGGCTCACAATAGTCAAAAGCATTATTTTACTAGACAGAATATTACCCACATAATATATACAGTACAGTACAATCCAAAATAGAAAGGACAGGTTTGTTGTTGATTTATGCAATTTCACTTATTGACACTCACCCTTTCTCCGCTACCAATGCATTTGAAATCATTGCTGACCAAGCACCAATGTAAAGAACTCACAACAACATCTTGTGCAGACGACAACTGATCTCTGACGCTGCAAAATAGCAATTCATGTCCAGCGTTAGCCATGTTTGTTTTGATTTCAAGGTCACGATATTTAGGTCATGACCTTTATAAATGATTTAATATGTCTTTGCAATTAGAGTCCCTAGAACGTTCGTCATGCAATATTATGCTTTAGCATATGATAGATATTCGCTCAGGATTTTTTTTTTAACTTTGGATAAATCTACTAAGGACATTCTTAGTAAAACACATATTATCTATCCCACAATCCCAAAGAACGCCAATATGTCTGCGCCCTGTGGAAACGTGGGAAAGAGATTTATTTTTCATTTTGTAAACGATTTAGTCGATTTTAAACTACCTGTGAGTGCTTTTTAATATTACACAAACTTTGAATACCACCAAAAATCTTAATTCATGGTTTATTTTGAATACTGTATATTTTATTACTTTTTTCTCTGCATGTAAATATTTATTTCACTTTCTCTAGACGTCGAATGTTTTCTTTCGTCCAAGTTATTTGGCATTGTTATAGGAACTGGTTTGTAACAAACATGTATTTTTTTCGGTCTTTTAGGAACTTAAAGCAGTAGCGGACTTCTTCAGTATTCAGCTCGGTTTTGATCCAAAATCGTACGACAAGCAGGTATATAATTCAATTTCAATTTCAAATTCATAATTAACAGAATTCCGTAAAACCATTCTGCTCAATATTGGCTCTGCATAAAATATTTTCAGGTATGAATCTCTGTATATCATCTTAATAAAAAAAAGTCTGGAACACCCAACTTGAATTTTGGCGAATTAAAACCTTTGCTAGTGAAAATCAATGGCTGGCCGGGTTACATGCAGTTAATAGTACATGCAACCGCTGCAATTAATGAATGTGCTTGCATACCAAACTGTTTTGATTTATTTTGATATTAAAATATTGATGGATCCATATATCTCTAGCATATTTAGCACATACTTCAATGCGTCCAGTGATCAATATTCATATGTCTTTTTCTTTTCTTTTTCCCAAGGACATAAATATCATTTCAAATTAGAAAACCATTTTTTACATGTATCTAAACTTTTTGTATATTGAAGTGAGATTTGTTTCATTTTAGGATCCATTCATTGTTGTAACTCTTGAAAATGAGAAGCAAGCAAAACAAATTACTAGCAGAACAGTACTTGTTAGGTATGTTTGTAATGATACAGTATACATGTTTCAATTTTATTTATTTATTTATTTCAAGATATACAAGCTTGCTTGCATTTTTGGAATTAAAAAGGTTAACTTTCATCTCTGCTTAAATTATGAAACATAGCATTCAAAAACCAGTTTATAGATTGTAAATTCATATGTGCATAGTAGAAGCAACTATATATACATGTTTATCTGTGATATTTTCAGGAGTGTATATAATTACTGGGCAGAGGGAACATCAAGGGAAGAGTTATACCAGAATATAAAACAGCTTAAAGATACTTTTAAGGTGACTTATCAATCTGTATCTAATGTGCTGATGATATTATATGAATCATTTCTACATGAGTTAATTGTTAGAGTATTGTTTTTCTCAGTTGTAAACGTGTAAACGTGTCAAATATTTAGATTTTTCTCTCCTTAAATTTTGAGTGTCCATAACTCTAGCACTGTAGTGTTTTTTATAATGGTAAAAAAGTCTTTACAAATTCCAAGTGCTATTTGCCACAAAGTTATTATATTGTATTTTTTACAGGAAGCTTACTGTTCACCTAGCAGGTCATTTAAGATAAACATTGAGTCATACAACCTGAAGCAGGATTTTCAAACAATACCAAAAAGATTGCAGGTAAGTGCCTTTTAAGACAGTAAGTTTTTTTTTTTAACAAAAACTAAAATAGATGAATTAAATATATATTGTTTTCTAGATAGTTTGTAATATGTGCTCCATGGAAACAATTTGAAGCAATGCAACTAGACCTTATATTTCCATAAGCCATGTAGATAATAATTAATTTATTAATTGTATGTAAATTAATTTGTAATTTTATCTTCCCAAAAATAACAGAAAGATGTTATCACTGAATGTTTCCAGGAGTTGGCAGAGCATGCAAACTTAGACCTGCAGGGTCCTGTGAGCCTGTCGTCTCCAGACGTCTCCTTTTATTTCCTGGAATACTACGGCTCTCAAGGGACTAAACCCCTGGCCAAGAAACTGTACTTTGGGACATGGGTAAACTTTGTTTTATTTATTTATTTATGAATTCATTTCTTTGCTTATTTATCCACTTGTTCATTCACTCATTCATTCATTCATTCATTCATTTATTTACTTAAGTATTTCTTTCCTAATTAATTAATTACTTAATATTTATTTATTTATTTATTTTATTTATTTATTTATTTATTTATTTATTTATGCACTAATTTTTTCATTAATTAACTTATTTATTCAATTATTTAATTAATTCATTTATTATTTCATGAAATTGGTTTAAGAGGAAAATACTTGAATATATTTTGTAGAAATAAATAATTATGCTGGTTTATGTTGCATAAATTATGCTGATATTTAAATATGATTCTTGCTGATGTTTCAGGTAGCTGATGGACAGAAACATTTAGTACAAAGATATGATCTCAAAAAAAGACATTACATAGGTGAGACAGCAACAGTCCAAGGTGTGAAAACTAACGTTAAAAATAAAAAGCACTGTTACAGTAATAGTTGTTCATGTTGGTTGTCATCAAGACAGTGCTGAAATGTGTAGATCATATGTGTAAATGTGTAACCATAGAATAACACCAGTTTAACAATTGGAGTCTGTCCTAAATAATAAATAGATTATTCATAAACTTTTTGCTATTATTGGCATATATGGGTCTTATCCAGTATTATGCCAGTTGTAGAGGACTGTTCCCAGTATATCTATGAGATTCAATATAATTTTTTTTTTTTTTTTTTACGCATTGGAACTCCATTTAGCTGCAGTAAGGCCAAATTTACAACAGCTGACTAACAAGTCTTAGATGCTTGATGTGTAATCTCCGCTCGGCATCTGTTCAGTGTCTATTGAGGGTTTAGACAACAAACTCTTAAGTGGGTCGCCATATTTGATCCATGCGGCCTTAATTATTTCAATAATTATTTTTATTAATGTTTCTTAATTTTTTTATTTATTTATTTATTTATTTATTTATTTTTATGTTTTTGTCACCAATCAGGCAATACCAGCATGGATGCCAGACTGTCCCTCCTGGTGTCCAACCTGGCCCTGGCTGGACCCGGCAGCTGGGTGCTGGACCCCTTTGTGGGAACAGGTGAGACATCTAATCTTAAATGCCCCATTCATCTATTTTCTGAACCACTATTTAATGTGTAATCTTCCCTTATTCTCCGACCATCTGGGGTTAAGTCTGATGTACTGTTTATAGCCAGTTCAGTTTGATTATCTCCCCTCTTGATATTTGTCATGTTTGTAAGATAAAATATTTTGTGAACTTTTAGGGAGCTGCTTCTCTGACATTTTTTTTTTTATTATTATTTCAAATGTTATCAACCATTATTCAATAGCCTGTACTCCAAGCAATCTGCTGTTGTATTTTTAATACACATTTTGCCCATATTTTGGTAAACCTTTGTAAATTTCAGTTGAAAATCTTCAGTATTTTAGACATTGTATAATTAATTTTGTACTCCTTTCCTTG